TGCGCGGCATGCGCCCACATCTTCTTGTAGTAGTCGCCGTTTTGGCGATGGCGGGTGCACAGCTGGTTCCACGGCCGAATAGTTTCGTCCACGTAGCCGGGGCCGACGCTGGGCGAGAATATGAGACCATGGCGGTTGGCAAAGCTAGCGATTAGCCGCCAGTTGGTCGGTGTAGAGCCGTACGAGAAGCGACTGCTGGCGAAGTACGTGAAACAGCCATCGAAGCCATTGGCCACCAGTTTGTGCTTATCGCGGTCCTTCACCAACAGACCGAGCACGAAGCAATCGAAGGCGGTGTTGCGGATCGAGTTGTTGCCCCCATCGCGTAGCACCGACCTCCACTCCTCGTCCGCCACCAAATACGAATCGTATACGTAGAGCAGCGGTTTCAGCGCCTCCTTGAAGCGGTATCGATAGAAGGACGGGTGAACACCATAACGTTCGACAATGTACTTAAAGTCGTTGTGCAGCGAACGCCCGTTCCTGCCGTCGTACGGCTCGATCAGGAACGTCACCTTGAGGCCTTGCCTCTGTGCTGCCTGCATGATTGACGGTATCAGCGCGTCCCATGGTCTACCCTCACTGTCGCTTCTGTCTGGTGGATACCACGACACAACAATTACTCCTTAAAAATACAGAAAGTTAGAAACATCAAAAACTTTTCTTCTTGAAATGGAAACTGATAATTTATGCAGAAACAGACAGTAGGAGGCCATTCTAAAAAATAGCAGCTGAGGGTTTCCTCGTTATAGCAGACAGCAGCAAGGACGCGAAGGCTGCAGCTGATCAGTCGACTACTTTTCACAACCCCTCTCGTGACATCACCTGCTGTTGTGACGTGTTAAGCATAACCTTTGCTACAGAATCAGTGTTTCATGCTGCTCCATTTTAATTTAGTTTTCTTTGCAGAAATATTATGCGTGAAATGGGTACAGCCGAAGTTCTGAGTTTGGAGAAGGGAAAGTTTGTCGCAAGTTTTTAGCTGTAACGGCTCTAGTAGCCACTGTGATCTTCATTTCAATCTCAAAAAACAACTATGAAGAAGGCGGCCAAAGGCAGTATGGTGTTACAGCTAATTATCTTCATTTAATTATTGCTCGGTCAGTGGGGTTTGCTGACGTATACGAGTGCCACGAAGTCTACCTTCTACAGCAATATCGATTACAGCGCGTACGCAAGCATG